TCCGGATGCAGCCGCTGGGGAGGCGCTCGGACCCCGGCGGCATCCCACACGCCCTCCCCCGGGAGCCCCGAGGGGACCGCGCGTCGGGGGTGAGCGCTCGGGCGGATGGGCAGAAAGGGACCCGCACGCTGTGTGTCTCCGGGCCAGAGCCTCCTGCCCAGCTCCAGCTAACCCGCTACCCCTTGCCATCCCTGGGGCAGAGCTTACACTGGTGGCCCAGGAAGCTGACCTTTGGTTGTCAATCGCCCGGTGAGAGTTGGAAGAGAGGGAAGGGCCTCGGTCCACGCTGACCTGACTCACCTTTGAGTGAAGTCTTCGGCGGGACTGGATGCTGATGGCACTGCCTCCTGAGTCGCCGATGGAGTGCCTGAAAGGGCACTTACTTGGTCTTGTCTAGTTCAGTCCTAGGGTCTAAAGGCCAGCGACAGACAGTGGCTCAGAGAATTGCAGGTCTGGAAGGGCCCTGGGGAAGTCAACGTGTCGAACTTTCTCCCTTAAGGCAGGACTTGTCACCATTCATGACAGAGAAGATCACTGCATTTAAGGCTCTTTCTTCTCTCCAAGAGATGCAGAATGTGTGTGCGGTCAGAAGCAACCTAATGTCCATCACTGTCACGGCAGTTTTAAGTATTGGCTGAGTGTATATTACTTATATTTCTACCCTTGAATTTTTCTTTTCAGATTTCAGCAAAAATGAACAAGTAGTTATTATATTCTAAATATAATGTAGTTGTATAATGTAGTTATTATATTCTAAATATATACATATATACCACATCTCATTTCTGGCTAAATAGCTCTAGGCCCTTTAATCTTACTTCACAGCTATTGTTTTTCATCCTTTTATCCCCAGCTTCCCTTCAGTGTGCACTGAACTCTTCCAAGTAAGTGACCATTCTTGAGAACACAAGTCATGATCATGTTCCAATACTTTCCTCTAGTTTATTGATTTCTTTTTCTTAATAGCTCTCCTGATACACAGGTGAAATAACCATCAAAAATCCAATCAAATCGGAACAAGAATGCCCTAGATGATTGCAAATGAAAAGGTAATGCAGTAATTAGAGAATGAGCCCATGCTCCCTTAACAGAGGCTCTAAAAATACCAGTACAGGTTCATACAAGTTCCATTATATGCCAGATTGATTATTTGGTGTTAGGCCAAAATGCTTCCATGACATTGGTTTTCAGAGAATGAATTCACTGATCTTCATGTTAGAAAATCAGTTTAATAAACATAATAATAAAACTCTCTGAATTGTTATTAAGTTTCCCTCGGCTTGCCCTGATTGGTGGAAAGATGGCACAGATACTAAGCCTTTTGTATTCATACCTCTTTGAGGCAGGTCCAGGAGTGACAGCCCCGCGTGTAAATATTTGGCTGTTTGAGATTCTCTTACCACATAGGTCCAAAGCCAGCACCTTATATTAAAGAAGGTGGGCTAGCCTTTTTCCCCTGCTGTTTTAAGAAAATGGCAGAGAAACATCCATTTCACGGTACAGAGGTGATTACAGAATTGATTCAGCATCCGTTTAGTCACTTGACACCTATCTTTTCATAAATGACTGTTGCAACTAATTGAAATTTTAAGAGGGTGCAGTAGTTCAACCTTATCTGCAGTTTCACTTCATGGTTTCAATTGCCTGTAGTCAACCAAGGACTGTAAATATTAAATGGAAAATTTTAGAAATAAACAACTCATAAATTTTAAATATCTCACTATTCTGTGTTGTGATGAATTCCTGTGGCATCCCACCCTTCCCAGCCAGGATGTGAATGATCTCTTTGTCCCGTGTATTTTCTCTATATACACGACTGCCCAGTAGTCTCTCAGTAGCCATTTCAGATCAATTGTATATGTGCATGGGAAAAACCCAACGGTACATGCAGGCTTGCATACTATTTTGATAGTTTCGGGGATCCACCGGCAGACTTGTAATGTATCCGTTGTGAGTAAGAGCTAGAGGTTATTGGCTTTTGTTTAATTTATGAAGGTTACATTTATTTTTAAAATACATTAAGTATAAATAGGAAAAATATTAAAAATAGATGGAACAGGAATAGAAAACATGTAATTTATTATCCTCCTTATCAAACCTCAATTTAAAATGATCAGAAAAGGAATAGGAATACAAAGCTGGAAGGGATTAACTAATATGGACAAATGATAATTGAGTTAGGAGACTGGAAAAACCTAAAACCTAGATTCACCATGGGAAAATCAATATAAAAAATGTAATTCTTATCACAGAATCAGGAAATTCTCCAGAGTTAGGGTATAAGAGTTTGAGAGAGAGGTAGAGAACAGATGAGACCTTGGAACCTATGAAAGCCACTCTTCACAGTGAGAAACATTCAATCAACTTTTCATGGCACATGGCAACTATAACCCTAGCACAAAACTTTAGTGTTATTTAAGGTAAAAAAAATTTGTACAAGAAGCTTTTACTGTCCTATTCACAGCCCAAATACACTGCTACCTAAATTCTGGAAGATAGTTTTTTTTTGTTTTTTTTTTTTTTGATAGTTTAATTTTGAAAATATTGCGCAAGGAATAAAATATGCTTTAAGTGAGAAGATAAAACTGAGACCATATTGAAAGCAGAGATTATAAGTGAAGCTCTACAAAATAATCCATAAGATTCCCAGGATGGTAGAAAATAAGCTTAATGTGTCCTGCTACCACTCACCCATACAAAAACTGGAGGATTTTTTGTGGGAAAATTAAACAATCCAAAATTGGGTAGGCCTATGGATACCAACAGTTGGGATACTCCAACAAAATATCCCTATTTCTAAAAGTCACCTTAGAGTGAAACACACCATTAAACAGGTTAAGAAATCCAAAGTTTCTAATGAGCAATTCAGTGTTTCATTCACACATGAATAAACAAAATTCAGTCCTGTCAATGGCAGAGTAGCTGGTATGAATAAATCCTCTGTGTGTAAAAGACTCTGGGCTAAATATAAAAACAGTTACTTACTTTTTAAAATTTGTTCTTTTACTAGTACATGTTTGCAGTACATAACGATCACCTTCATCATGGAGGTTTGTACATCTACATAACACATCTCAGTTTTTTCTTTTTTGTCCCCTTCCCTTCACTGCTTACAAAAGCTCTATTTCCATTTTTTCCTTTTGTGTTTTCCCCTTTAAATCTCTTTCCCTTCATCCCCTCTCCCATATTTAAATGTGCAGAATAACAGCTCAAATCAGAAAATTGAGGTCAATGTAACCTATGAGAGAAACTCTTCTGAGTGAAGAACATTCATTTAGTTTTTCCTCTTTGGGCCCCTACAGTTGGTTCAGGACAGTTGGTTTCAAACCCAAGCACAAAACTTTAGTCTTACTCACTTGAGGTGAAAGAAAACATAATTCAGGGCTGGCAGGGATATTAGAAATGGAGAAGGATATTCCAGAAAGAAAGGGTTTCCATGGGAGAATCTGAAAATCTGTATGTACTCTATACTTAAATAATAGACTGATGTGTGAACTATACAAGTGTGTAGCAGAGTCCAACAAAATCAGAACAAAGTAATAAGTAATAACTGGGAGGTTGAAACAGCTGGAAAGAAATTTTAACTGCAGTATGTGGTTCAAAGTATAAATCCCAACAAGGTAAACATGTGTTGAGGGAGGGAACTTTAAAAATTTCCCAAGAGGTGGGAGCCATGCTGAGCCCCAGACAGCTTCAGAAGCCTCAGTGACCACTCCCTACTCCCCCAGGTGTGGGAGCCACACTGAGCCCTGGTCAGCCTCAGGAGCCTAGGTGAGCATCGCCCTGCCCCCCTACACCATTGTGGGAACCATGCAGAGCCCCAGGGATCCTTGGGATCTTTGAAAATGACAAAACAAAGGAGTAAAATGCAGTCTTAGACATTCACTACACCTAGAACAAGTCCAGGAGACATCAACATAGAAGAGCTTGGAAGTCACACAACTGAAATTTCTGAAATGATAGCAACTGAAGTAAAGAAACAACTCTACCAGGCTATAGAAGAAATTAGATCAGAAATAATCTCAGGTAAGAAAAACTAAATGACAACCATAAAGAAAGAATTGCTCAGCACATCTAAAAAGACAGATTAAAAAAATAGAGGAGGATAGAAAAATGATGGAAACCATGAATAAACAATATAGGAAAGAATTAGAATGCATGAAACAGATTCAAACAGATATCCAGGAAGTTAAAAATTTCATTGAAGGCTGGCAAAATTGCTTGAATGAAGCTGAAGACAGACTTTCAGACTTTGAAGAGAGCTTTGCGTTGCAGCTATTGATCATGAAGGGAAAGATCCCTTAAAGATAACAAGAAACCAGAAAATAACAATTCAATAGCTACGAGATTATGCAAAAAAAAAAAAAAAAGTAACACTAATAGGTGTCCGTGAAACAGCAGGAAAAAACAAAAATGACAAAAAAGACTATTTCCAAAGTAATAGCAGAAAATTTCCCAAGCATGGAAAAGAATCAGACATACAGTTTAGTGAGGGATACAGAACTCCAATAACTAAAATAAATCTAAACCCAGACATATAATAATTTAGATCCCAGAAATTCAGCCTCAAAACAGAATATTAAAAGCTGTTAGACAAAAAGAAACAGATCACCTATAAAGGAAAGCCC